TTGATGATTTGTTATAGCCTTTCACAGTTCACTAACTTAATCATTTGAGCTCAGCAAGTGTTTACCCTAAAATTGAATAAAAATTAAATTTATAATGTGATTGTAAGGATACGTAATTAATTTCATCTAATACCAATTGACGAATATAAAAATTAAAAATAAAAATTGACAATAAGATAAATCAAACCGGTGTTTGAATGGAATTCAGCCCTCGAGCTTGAATACCCTCGAACTGATTGGTGCAAGAACAATTAAAAATATAACAAGCTGATGAAAAAGAATATGAGCTAAGGAGAAAGTATTATATTACTTTGATACGTGAGAACAATTTGTCTTACAAATGATTAGAACCCTCTTTATATAGTAAAGAAATCCTATCTATGGTACAATTCTAATTATGGAAGTAAATCCCATGATTAACTAAACAATCGCCTTTGATTTGATCTGTTCCGAGATTCCCGCCACTATTTTTGACCAGTCACGGATATCTCGCCTTTCCATTCGGTCTTGCTCGATGTCTGTCCTGTTCAACCTCGATCATTATCGGTTTCGACCTTGCTAGGTAGCCCGAATCCGAACTCAGTGTCTTATCCTCGTGCCTCGATCTGATCTATTACGGGATCGATCTTCGATCCTTCACACCGGTCTCGATAAATCAGTAAAATCGGGTGAGCCCAATTTTAACCATATACAGATAGTCCCCTCGTTTTTTCAAGTGTAATGACAAGAAACGAATTTAGTCTTTGAGCTTCTTTGCTTGTTCTTCCAGAAATACCAAATATTCCAATCTCTATTCCTCCTTGCTTACGAAAATAAAATGGCCAAAACATCTAAAATTGTTCCGCAAAAGGAAACCGCTCAGGTTCGGGCTAAGGAGCGCACCAAGTGTCGGTCTCGAAGGGAGACCTTTGAAGAAACCCATGCTCGGGGCTTTGTTTTTTCAACCGAGATCGATGGACCCAAATGACCATTTGAACTAGAGTTTGAGTAGCTCTTAGGCTTAACAGTCGAGTGAGGATTTGCTCGAACTCGAAGTAAAGTTAGCCCTTAGGCTCTATAGATAGTCCCCAAGTGAGAGTTTGCTCGAACTCAGGTTAAGATAGCTTCTTGGGCTTTTATGATCGAGTGAGGACTTGCTCGAACTCGAAGTGAAGTTAGCCCTTAGGCTTTATAGTCGAGTGAGGATTTGCTCGAACTTGAAGTAAAGTTATCCCTTAGGCTTTATAGATAGTCCCCGAGTGAGAGTTTGCTCGAACTTGGGTTAAGATAGCACTTGGGCTTTTATGATCGAGTGAGGACTTGCTCGAAGTGAAGTTAGCCCTTAGGCTTTATAATCGAGTGAGGATTTGCTCGAACTCGAAGTAAAGTTAGCCCTTAGGCTTTATAGTCGAGTAAGGATTTTCTCAAACTCGAAGTAAAGTTATCCCTTAGGCTTTATAGATAGTCCCCGAGTGAGAGTTTGCTCGAACTTGGGCTAAGATAGCCCTTGGGATTTTATGATCGAGTGAGGACTTGCTCAAACTTGAAGTGAAGTTATCCCTTAGGCTTTATAGATAGTCCCCGAGTGAGAGTTTGCTCGAACTCTGGTTAAAATAGCCCTTGAGCTTTTATGATCAAGTGAGGACTTGCTCGAACATGAAGTGAAGTTAGCTCTTAGGCTTTATAGTCGAGTGAGGATTTGCTCGAACTCGAAGTAAAGTTAGCCCTTAGACTTTATAGATAGTCCCCGAGTGAGAGTATGCTCGAACTTGGGTTAAGATAGCCCTTGGGCTTTTATGATCAAGTGAGAACTTTCTCGAACTCGAAGTGAAGTTAGCCCTTAGGCTTTATAGATAGTCCCCGAGTGAGGGTTTACTCGAACTTGGGTTAAGATAGCCCTTGGGCTTTTATGATCAAGTGAGAACTTTCTCGAACTCGAAGTGAAGTTAGCCCTTAGTATTTATAGTCGAGTGAGGATTTGCTCAAACTCAAAGTAAAGTTATCTTTTAGGCTTTATAGTCTAGTGAGGATTTGCTCGAACTCGAAGTAAAGTTAGCCCTTAGACTTTATAGATAGTCCCCGAGTGAGAGTTTGCTCGAACTTGGGTTAAGATAACCCTTGGGATTTTATGATCGAGTGAGGACTTGCTCGAACTTGAAGTGAAGTTAGCCCTTAGGATTTATAGTCGAGTGAGAATTTGCTCGAACTTGAAGTAAAGTTAGCCCTTAGGCTTTATAGATAGTCCTCGAGTGAGAGTTTGCTCGAACTCGGGTTAAGATAGCCCTTGGGCTTTTATGATCGAGTGAGGACTTGCTCAAACTCAAAGTGAAGTTAGCCCTTAGGCTTTATAGTCGAGTGAGGACTTGCTCGAACTCGAAGTAAAGTTAGCCCTTAGGCTTTATAGTCGATTAAGGATTTGCTCAAACTCAAAGTAAAGTTAGCCCTTAGGCTTTATAGATAGTCCCCGAGTGAGAGTTTGCTCGAACTTGGGTTAAGATAGCCCTTGGGCTTTTTTGATTGAGTAAGGACTTGCTTGAACTCGAAGAAGAAGTAGCCCTTAGGCCTTTGTATTTGTTACGGATTTTGAACGTCTCCGATCCGCGTTAATTTGGTCGTAGCCTCTTTAGTTTGGAACTTACCCTTTGGGTTTATTTTCCATTTCACTTCGAGCTTGCTCGAAGTGTGAGTCCCCGAGTGGGGTGGCCGTGGCCTGTAAAATCGAGGGTTGCTTTTAAGGTCTTATGTTCTCGAAATTTTTGTAGTTCAATTTTGTTTGTTTTTCGGATGGCAGTCCTCAAATGTGGGGTTAGTTGTTTGAACTTCCGTCATGATCGGCCCTTAAGCCTGTTTACACAATAGCTCAAAAGTATGAAATAGGAAATTTTTCTAAAGGCATGAGATATCGGCAAGGAAAAAATACTTCTCTCAATAGATGATTAAACATGCGCGCATGTTTGATGTTAGGGCTCGAGTAACCTATATAGGCATGGTTCATCTTACCGTTTGACCCTTATCGAGACCTTGCTGTCACGAAGTAATTTCCTTGCAACAAAGTAGACATTCGAGGGTAATGCCCCTAGTACTCGAGGCTTATTGTATGGAACCTCGGATATTGTTGAACTGCTCTAAGTTAGCACAAACAATGGTTGCCTCGTTAAAAAACTTTCCGGAAAAACCCATTTGGGATAAAAATCGGTGTAAGGGAAAAAGAGTACAACACATACTTAAGATCCAAAGCTTCATGCCGATCCTTGTCGATAGCCTGCAGTGTTATTCAAAAAAATAGAAAGAATTGGAATGGGGTCGTACCTTCATTCAAACGTTGGATATTTAACGTGATTTTCCTCGAAACCAAGCCCCCGTGAATTTTGATTTCGATCATTTCTCCTCTCGTTTCGTGTGAAGCTTCGCCCAGACCCACTACCTCTACGGTCTCCATTGTACTGTTAATATCAATCTCCATTCGACCTCGGCTCTCGATCGATGTCTCTTTTGATCCTATCCATGGGCCTGCTAGGATAAATGGGCCCCGAAAGAGTCCCCAGTTGATCATCCTCGACCCTGATCTTCGACTGATATCAATTATGTACGTTGGCCCAAGCGACAGCCGGGATACTCGATTAAACTTTGCTTCAACTGTTGTGAAGCTATGGAACTCCGAGTGTTGATACCTTGAGTGAAAGCTTGAACAGCCCAGTCATCGGTGACCGGAGGCAAATCCGTTCTCTCCGTTTGGAACCGAGATACTAATTACCTGAGCATCTCGTTATCTTCCTGCCTTACATTGAAAAGGTCCGACTTCCTCATTGTAACTTTAATGGCTCTGGCGTGTGCCTTTACAATTGAATATGCAAGCATAACAAACAAATCAATAGAATTATGGGGTAAGTTATGATACCATATTAAGGCACCCTTCGATAGAGTCTCCCCGAAATTCTTCAGCAGTACAGATTCAATTTCGTTATCTTCCAAGTCATTTCCTTTGATGGCGCACGTATACGAGGTGACATGTTCATTCGTATCGGTCATCCCGTTATACTTGGGAATCTCGGGCATAAGGAACGTCTTGGGGATTGGCTTCGGAGCCGCACTAGGGGGAAGGGTCTTTGCACGAACTTTTTAGAATCTAGTCCTTCCAATATCGGTGGTGCCCCCGAATTTGATCAACTCGGGAGTTGTACGCTTCTACCCTTTTGTCGTTTTCCTCAATTTTCTTCTCCCCGATTCGATCCGTTTTGTGAGTTTTTCGAAATCTTCATAATGGCGGGGTCAGTCCCCAATTCGTTCTCATTTGGACTCTCCGAAACTGGTTCGGCTCTGTGAAAAAATTCTAGTGAAGGTTCGGGCTCGATCCTGCTTGGTGCTCGGTTTTGATTTTGGAGTTGTGTTATGCAGCTTGTTGAGTCTGCAACATTTTGAATATCATTTGAAGGCTAATCCCGCCTTCTTCACCCCTCTATGCATTCTGATCGGTTATTTGAGTATCTCTGCAGACGCTATTTTCAGGATCGACGCCCAAATTCCCATTAATGGCATTATGGGAGCTGACATCGATTAGGTCCACGGCCGGAACTCCATCGGGTTGGCTAGGGGTACTCCGTTTTCTGTGGCGGCTATATTTTTGTTCTCGCCATGAAGATCAAGGCCATTGTTTGTGTGAGTGGGTGCTACTTAAGAGTTTGACATGTTGATTCCTGAAATCAAAGACACTTACGAGAACAAGTGCAAAGCAGTGTGTGTTATGAGAATTAATATCAGGCAATTACTTTTATCCTTAGACCCACGGTGGACGTCAAACTGTTTACCCTAAAAATTGAATAACAATTAAACTCATAATGTGGTTTTAAGGACACTTAATTTCACCTAATACCAATTGACGAATATGAAGATTAATAATAGAAATTGACAATAAGATAAAGCAAAACCAGTGTTTGAATGGAATTCAGCCCTCGAGCTTGAATACCCTCGAATTGATTGGTGCAAGAATAGTTAAAAATATAATAAGTTGATGAACAAGAATATGAGCTAAGGAGAAAGTGTTACATTGCTTTGATACGTGAGAACAATCTGTCTTACAAATAATTAGAACCATCTTTATATAGTACAGGAATCCTATCTATGGTACAATTCTAATTATGGAAGTAAATCTCATGATTAACTAAACAACCACCCTTGATTTGATCTGTTCCGAGATTTTCGTCACGATTTTCGACTAGTCACGGTCTTGCTCGATGTTTGTCCTGCTCAACCTCGATCATTATCGGTTTCGACCTTCCTAGGTACCCTGAATCTGAACTCGGTGTCGTATCCTCGTGCTTCGATCTGATCTATTACGGGATCGATTTCGATCCTTCACACCAGCCTCAATAAATCAGCAAAATCGAGTGAGTCCAATTTTAACTGTATACAGCAAGTTATGGATCCTAAATGATTATTTTATTTTCTTGATCAATCTCAATTGATTAATTTGTTTTCTTGATCAATCTCAAAACTAATATCTACATGACACTTTTGCATATATTTGATGCTAATATATTAGATAGACTCTTCAGTTTCTTTTACTTTTTGGAGTATGTAATGTAAGAAAAAATAGGATTTAAGCTATATACATCCAGGAAGTATAAAGATTTTTTTTATACCATAAGTGCAATTTAACCTATTACACTAGGTTAGTTATCATTATATTTACCAAGTTACCAAATAATGCACATTGTAAAAATTACCTGTAATTATCTTATAAGTGACATGGTTGTGTAAATATTTTTTTACGCTTTCTATGGAATTTAAACTCTAAAAAGGGCCAAATTGGTACAGGATTGCTAGACATTCATACATACATACGTATAGGTGCATAAATTAAGCTCGAATAGGCAGATGACTAAACACTTCAGCAAACACAAGAATGTCAACTTTACTAGGTCATATATTCTTCAAATAGTTGTTGAAGGGCAACCAAGTAATGAAAATCATGCCAATCATTTACCTACCAAAATGAACTTGTAATAGTTAAATGGTGCACCACTAGTTAAACTTATGTTAGGTTATTAACTATATTTCCACAAAACAAAAGTACAGTACGTGTCATCGTGTAATTAATTAATTTGAAACCATAAAATAAAATGCAAGCTTGTAAACTTATTAACAAGCATGTCGATCTTTCTCGTGTCCTGGAAATTTGTTTTACTTGCTCAATCTTGATATTATCTGCATAGAAAACTAGACATGACAAACAAACAAGCACACACATCACAAGAAATACATTCGTGGGTGAAAAGTAAAACCTTGTCGAGAATCTGGCGACCTAAAATCAGAAATACTGAGGTCTAGTCTCATTTACTCCGTCAGATCAAGTTCACTATTTTTGGGGTTTTCCTAAAGAAAGTTTAAGAAAAAAATATTATTTGGATCCTTGACTTTGATTTCCTGAGAATTTCCACAAAAACTGATAAACATGAACTTAAAATAATAAATTAAAGAAAAAGAAGTTTAATAACAACAGTAGTTCCACAGAAATTTGGCTTCCATTAACGGGAAAGAGTTTTGTTGGCTTATTTGCAATTGGACATGCCTAAAGTGCAACAATCATATGTCATTAGAACCATCATTGTGTTATAATACTAGACTAGGAGTTAAAAAAGGAATTAAGAAGATAATCCACAGTAAAAATAAAGATACAGAATAATTACCTGAGATAAATCAATGTCTTGACTATATATCCTTGAGAGAGTAAGTCAAGCTCAAATGAAGCCTTTTAATTTGTTTCTGTATTGGTGGTGAGTGATTGAAGCTGCTAGATGACCTGATGGAACCAAACCCATGAAAGCTACCTATATTCTCTTTCAATAAAAACTTTGCAAAATTCCAATTTCTTTTCCAAATCACTTAGCTAAATTCAAACCCAAAACACCTCAAGATTATTCTTTGCAAGAAAATATATATATAGCAAGAAATGGACTTTGTTCGTACCAGATCATGCTGGCAGCTTCAACCTCTCAAAAACCAATATACAAATATATACTCTATAACAAGAATGGATTCAAGAAAGAGCAAATAATGAAGAAAGGGTAATAGTCTATTTGAGGAAGCATTTTAAGGTATAAGAAGGAAGTGGGGCTTTTTGCCTTCGGTGTGGCTGATGCAACACAAAACACACAAGAAGCATGCATGCTTTGGGTTTTGCAGAAAATGGATGGATGTCCCTCGTGAATCTCCCCTCCATCTACTACTCCTATATATATATAAATTCCCCTCTTTACTTTTTCCTTTTCCTCCCCTTGTTTGCACTCTTGTCACTATATAGAGGCTTTTAATGATTTGAAAAGGGTGCGCTAAGCTCCCGCTACGTGCGTGGTTTGTGAAAGGGTCGGATTACAAAGGTTTATCGTACGTAATCTTACCTTGTATTTCTGCAAAATATTGTTTCAAAATTTAAACATTGTGAGTTCTGAATTTGAAAGAATATAGATTATTTAAATTTAATTATACTAACTTCTATAGAACTCATTGTTGGATCCATCCATTAATTGGTTTTTGCTAATTCTTACAGCTGTTGACATTGACTTATTGCCTCCTTGCCTGAACGTTTCTTTTTCTAGTATTTTCTCTCTTTTCCCCTGTCCTATTCTTCCTTCTCTTGAGTAATCCCTTGTTTTTTCAAGACTAATTATGTAATTTAATTTAAAGGAAATTGGATAGGGGGCCACAAACTAAACATGTATGTGTTGTATAAAACTACTCGTCCTATGTACTAACGAGCTTGCTTAAATAGACAAATTAGGTTTAGTGGTCCACATTTGATTATTATTATTAAAACTAAAAGGTAACTGTGCTATAGTAGATCTGAGTGAATTTCAAATTTGGACCACTAAGTTTATGTGGTCTTCTGGTTTAATCCCCTTAACAATTAGGGGTATTTGGTTTGACGTATTATTAGAGAAATAATTTCGCTATCAAAGAATTAATCCAATGCACTAATTCCTGTTCACAAAGAAATTTCACACAATATATATAGGAAACTCTAGCTAGATTTTAATGATTGATCTACACTATTCTCCAAATTATATACTCCCTCCGGTTCACAATAAGTGTCCAATTTGCTTTTAGCACACCCATTAAGAAAATACTAATTGTATACAAAATACCTACTATGACTAAACTACCCCTAATTAAACATTTAATGTGAAGAGTAAGAAAACTTTTTAGGGATATGTACATAGGGGTTATTTTGTAAAAATAAATTGAATTCTTTCTTGATTACATAACTGGACACTTATTTTGAACCAAAATAAAAAAGCAAATTGGTCACTTATAGTAATAATAAAGAGATAATATACAAGTAGGGTCAAATGCAAGACAAGCCAACATAATGCATGTGCTGAAGTCAAAACATTTAATAGCAATCGTGAAATATCTAAAAAAAAAACGACAATTAAAATATAATATTGTCTTAACAAGTACGATTAATAATTAACTCTAGTTGATTTTGGCTATAGCATGTATTAATTATTTCTTCGTCGATTGTTTCCCATAAGTTAATATAAGATATTTAATCTAGATGGTACATGTACTGAAAAATATTGTTCGTCCTTTCATCAAGTTGTACTGATGACATGATTATCAAACCTAAAAAGGGAAAATTAAACCAGATTAATTAAAGAACTATCCCTTAAAATGAATTCACTGCAGAAAAAAACCATTACGGCTCAGTCCGTTGGAAATCTCAAATAGTTGATGGATTTGTCAACCAACAACAACTGTGAAAGTGTTAAAATTGTTATTTTTCAATGGTGAAGAAAAACTGTAAAAAATTATCCGAGTGGAAAGGTTGTAAATTGTCGAAAATAATATTGGTGAGAGTATGAAAAATCATGAAATTCTAATAATTTTTTTACAGCTTTTGATCGATATAAATGCCAACCGTGTAAAATTCTACGGAGAATACTCGTTTTTCTTTTAGGGGGTGGTGGGTGGGTAATATTTTCATTGTCCAATCGTAGATTTGACGTTGATACTAGCTATATGAAACATTACTGTTAGACACTTAGTCATTTACCAATGAATTATTTGGTTGGACCTAACTAGAAACAGTTATATTTTTGTTGGGCGACTATAGCAAATAATAGGGACCGCTACTACAAATAGTTAAAGAGAAAGTGGACCAAAGGTAGATTTATATATTAATTGACGATCAAAGGGAGAGGTTGGAAAAGAGAGAATATAAACGGCGCATGCGTTGGTGTGGGCACATGGGGGCAATGTCTTTTACCTAGACAAACTCAAACCTTCAATATACTGACTGCCCCTTCTTCACTTGTTGTTTTCAGCAATGTGGCTAGTTTTAAGAAAGACAAATTTTAAATTGCTTTCCTCTCTGCTAGGTTTCTCTTTGGTCCCCTTTTCATAATTCAGAAAATTTCGAGATGACGTGGTAATTATTATTGTTTGTTAATTATTAAGTTGTTGTAAGTCTCCAACATTTTCACGTTACCTATACTAAGACTCTTTTGTTTTGATCTAGCTGCATGTTAGCTATGACATACTGATAAAAGAAGGAAGAGGCAGATCCAAGATTTCAAGAGGATGAGTGTACTATTATTTTGAAGTTGATTTAGAACTTATATTTGACGTGTTTAACTTTAGTCTGTTACCATAAATTCACTACCCTTAGAAATTATACGTTAAAAATTATTCTTTTTAAAATTTTAGTGATTTTCACCTATATATGTATACTCGATGCCGAAAACAAGACCGTATGACAAATGGGATTTGAACCGCAATTTTTGTTCGTAGAGGTTCACCCAATTATTATTGCATCATATGAGTCTTTGAGCATGAGTGTACGCACATATATTTAGATAATTTTGAAAAAATATAACATTATTATACATGATTTAGAGAGAAAAGTATGAATTCACGTGAACCCATATCCAATGAGCTAGACACGCCTCTGGTAAAACGTGTGGTGAGCGAATGAGATTCCTCCCTCTAGAATCAAAAATTTCGAGTTCATGTTTATCGGAAAAACATCACAGTTAAATTTGTAACATGATTTATAGATATATGGATTAAATTGATCCGGCAAAATAAAGTAATGAAGAACAAATCGATTAAAATAAGAGCAATTGAAGAAAATATAAGTCTAGGTTTTAGAATGTTCTGTGATCAAGAGTAAAGGGAAATTCTCGACAATACTTCTATAAAACTTGGGAGAGAATACTAATCTTTTTTCTATTAGTTTCCTTTTTTTTCTTTACAATAGAATGTAAGCCTCTCTTTATATATACTAGAGCTATGGAGTATACGATCTACTAATTAATTATCAAAATTAATGCTACAACAAAAGGTAATAAAAAGGTAATAAAGAATAATAAAGGGTAATAAAGCCTAATAAATGCTAATAAAGACGGGAGAGATCTTAGGATCTTCTGTAACGGTCATATTTTGAATTGCTTCTTATCTGACCACATATTTGTATTCGGTGTGAACATTTTATCCGGTCACAGATTTATATTCGGTGTGAACATGGTTCAATCATTGTTGATTAACACATATTACTTCCTAATTCACTCATCTTCTGAGACCGATTTCCGTCCTATACAGGTCTTCGAAAGTAGAGAATTTTTTGCTACTAAGCATCTTACCCCTGACTTTTGAGTGAACTTACTCGACACGAATATAAATTAGTCCGGCTAATGAATTTCAAACGTATACTAGATGGTAGACATAGTAATAGTAGCTTCACAAAATTTAAAATTGCATATGCATTATGTAAATTACATATGTTACATGTATGTATGTATGTATGTATTGATCAGGTTGGTGGAATGGGGGTGAGGGCGTCCTTTTGTCTTTAGCTTTGGAGGTTCCTTCTGTCTTTGAATGATAAACATGTAGACAGGCCCTAATGGAAGGGAAGGACCACAAAAACTTTTAATGCCTAATCCTATAATTTTTTCTTTGCTTTATTGTTCTCCCAATTGTTTGATTAATATATAGAGAGAGTCACATGGTTTTGCCTTGTAATTTAGCTGAATTGAGTTAAATCTTCATTTGATTCAGGTTGGGGAGTTAGGTGGTTGTGAATAAAGCTGTCCGTGTATTTTATAAGTCTTTTCTTTTTCTTCTCTTTTTTGCCTGCACAGAGAAACAAAATATAATAAATTAGGGGCTTTTTTCTTTCTATATTCCCTATGTTTGTGGGTCACACTAGTCTTGAAAATTATTAATAGATAGGATTTTTTAGGTTTCTTCTGTTAATTTGTCCAACAGTACATTTTAATTTGTTTTTGGTTAGCAGAAGGTGGTTCAAATTCGTTCATTAGATTTTCATTATCTCTAATTTGTGCGACCACTAACAAGTTTATTTAATTTGAATACTAATGAATTTCAAGTGCTTTTCATCTAAGCAATAGTGGGGTCTCTCTTGTGTGATAATGTCTAATTATGTTTATATGATATGTGTATTCTATTATGCACTTAATAATATTCACACACAAAGAAATTTGCCTTTTAATGTGCTATGGTCATGGCAAACATGTTTCTTGGATTTCCATTAATGAAGTTATAATTATGAACAAGAATGACTAATGACATGATTACTACTTGCAATTAGACAAAAGCTTCTTTAATCACAAAGAGGGGTATGTCTCTAGTTAATGGAAGAGATGTAATAATTAGGAATTCTAAGTTATATGCACCAACAATCTAGAAGACTCATTCGTTGACGCGCAACAATTACTATGCCTCAATTCCAAACTACTTAGGATCAACAATATAATTCCTCTCTATCCATGCCAGCTCTGTGTAACCAACATGACTAAAAACGTAACTCCAATTAATTTTACAAATACCTGTATGGATTTTTTTCTTCCACTGTTCCATATATCTTCGAAAAGGTTGATCATTTGCATGAAATCTCAGCCCAAAAAAAAGAAGAAAAATGAGATCTTGATCCTATTTACATAGTATATCGAGGAGGTTATGTACCACAAATCCAAAAGTAAGATGGACAATTTGTACTTAATCCCCTACTAAATCCAAAGGACACCAGCATCCTCATCATTCTACCATTCTAAAAGCCATTTCATTATCTTGAAATTAGTATGTCTGTTAAAACCATGTGTTATCAGTTAAGGATAATACCAAATAACAGATGAAAAGCTTAAACAAGTCTAAGCACCAAGGTAACATGCTTTCCTAACAACCACATAACCTTTTTTCAGCTTTTTGTTGGGGAAGAGGGATCAAAAGTAGTACAAGAAAATAAATTATATATTTGTAGAACCCTCTTGGACACTTTAAATCATCTAATTAGCAAGAAGTTCAAAATCCAGCACAAGGTTTGGATATGTTAAGTGCAAATGTAGATTTTCTGTTACACTTTTTGCCTGGGGAACAGGAATATAGTCAAACTCTAGTTTTTATATCCAGTTCAGAATAACACATGCATATGGGCATGTGCTTTAGCAGGTCCAGCATGTGACAACTAAAACTATACAGCTAGGGATGGAAAGAAACATAGTCAACTTTACACAGGCAAATGAGACTACCCTTCATGCCATCAACAGGTACCTCAAAAAAGGAAAATAAACATGCATGGTTTAGACTCCAACAGAAACTTTGGGATTGATCTGCTTGAGATGACTGACTATTTCTATCTGCATCCCCTTTAGTGGTAGGGATGTGTGAGCAGGAACGTCGAATGGGAAGGGGAGATGAAAAGACAAAGGAATGAGAAGCATGAAATACACATTTTGTACAACAACAACATACCCAATATGATCCCACTAGTGAGGTATGGGGATGGTGAGGTGTATGATGTACTTCTACCTTGTGTGATCCCACTAGTGGGGGGTCTGGGGAGGGTGAAGTTTACACAGACCTATACAATTGAGCTAATTTCTTCTATTTCTTGAACTAGACTTAACGATGTAGGAATTATTTTCAATCTCCACTATTTTCTATTTTAGGCCAACCTTGATCGGCTTGAGACTTCACAAACTCAGCTAAAAGTTTAATTTCATCATCTTGCAATCGAGGACCAAAGGTGCATTGACCCCTCGGTGTACAATTCTGACCAAACCCCTGCAAAGCCAGATGGCGCATTAGGTCCACCACATAGCCAGCATAAAGATAAACATGGTTCTGAACAGTGTGAACTTACTGGCATTCTCCCTTTGCCATAGTAAGTGATGCGATAGATCTCCTCTTCCGTGTCAGCTCCATTTCTATTCAGAAAAGTAGATAGTTCAAAGATGGCCATGTTTTTTTTCCATAATGATATGACAAGTTGCAACTAAACTATGTATAAAAACAATTGACAACGAACAGACTATGTATACAGCAAGACAATAAGTCCTCAAAAGTTGAGATGAAATAACCTATTATCTATATAGATTTGGTTTTCGTAAAACCATAATGTGGATTTAAAAGTTTAACAACACAACAAAATAACATGAGTGATTTTAATCTTAGCTAACGTATGTAATAGGATAATTATTAATTAGTTTGCTGCACATTCTACAGTTCTGCTTATACGAACATTTTGATATTCAGTTTACCTTTTATCCATATGTTTTCCTCACAAGAGTTGACATTTTTAACGAAATCATATATTCAGAAAATTTGACCTGCTAAGCTTTAGAAGGGGATGGGAAAGGGGAGGGTAAGGGGGGAAATTATCTTCAGCAAACCAACAAAGAGCCTTTCATTTAGAGCCATTTAAAACAAAAAAGTTAATGGTGTAGATGGGCACATTTTGTGAAAACGGAAGCAGCATATAATTTCTTCACATTCTGAACTTTCAGTTGCTGTGAATATCTTATATATTTAGTTACCATCAGTTGTTCCTGGTACAGAAAATTAGACCAAGAAGCTGACAAGTAAAGTCATAAGTATGTTTATACCTTTTCTTTTGAAATAGGTAGCAGTAAAGTGTGGTAATACTTTTACTAGTGTGAAAATTTAAGCATCCTTTCTTTGAACTTCTGGTTTCGATTTAGATATGTAAAGTTCTAAGGAACCGCGACATGGAGTACAACTTAAAATAAAATCTTATGGATGGATTTTAATCTTTTACCTTTCTAGATCCTTCAAGAAGAGTGTCGCACCCTAACATGAAAAAGGAAAAATAATTATGGTGAGCTGCAAAATCTTTGACGATTATTGGGATCACGAGGCAAGTAATACTCACAGGCTGGATTATATTTCCACCTGCATAATGACATCCAATGCAAGCTTTACTAAACAAAGCAGCTCCCCTTTGTACTTCTATTGTTTGTCCAACTGAGTCTGCAAATAAAAATACAATAAAATAAAGGAGAGAAGAGAGCCGAGAAGCAGGTAAAAGATGGATAATGTTTTAAGATTAAAAGGCCCAGTACTGAATTTCAACTGCAAACACATTGACAACAAGGGATTACTTCTTGCGACCTACATCAGATGTGGAATCAGCCTAGCTCTAATTTCCAGTACACCAATGTCAAATAAGGAAATACAACCAAGTCACCTTCAAAAGGGACCTCCAGAAAGTAGAGACTACTAAGACTGTAGCCGCCATAAAAGATATTATATTTACTGACCGGTGCCTGTAGTTTATGTAAAACCATACCAGAACATCTTAGGCAACCTTCTCATTTTGTCCTCTATGTGAGCTTCCTGCATCCTCCATCAGATATGCTCATTTCTAATATTGAATAAAAATTTAATTTGTTCTTGACATGGCTAACATGGTCAAACTTTTGCGACAATTTTCATGTGGATTGCTTTGGTTCAAGTTGAGGCAAGGGGTTGGGATGCTCAATGCTTGCAATCTGTGTCTTGATGGGCTATATAACAGGCAAGTGTTTACTGATATGTTGTTCTACAAATAGCATAAATAAGAACGTTTTAAGTGTTGGAAGAACATTCATCAACTTAGAAGCATGCTAGCTACATGGATTCCCTGTTCGTAACTACTTATTTTCCTCTCCTTTTGCTATCTCATCCACTAAACTAGCCGCGCTTTACGTGCGCTTTGTGCTAAAGCATCAACAGACCTAAATGCTTTTTGTTGATTTTTCCTTTGATAACAATGGCGTATAACTATAGTCTCCATAATATGATCTTGAACAAGCCTCACCACTTGAGCTACCTTATGGAATTAAGTTGGAGCTAAAGCTCATTTTCTCAACAGCATGCACTGCTGCTGGCACAGATATGACATTGAAGTACTCATCTTCTTATTGCATCATAGCATGTGAAGTAATAAAATCATGCAAATCCCTTAATTGGTCGGGTTGCGTCACCTTGTCAAGTTTCTTAGTCAGACGGGTCACACCAATCTCACACAAATCACATACTAGAATGGATTGCATCAATTAACGTAATTTCCAGATTGGATAAATCTAACGACTGAGTTTCATTGTTGTAAGTCGCTTTATGACCAGTGTTAAGAGTTGCGAGTGCATCATTGGAAATAGGTCTCGGATGCATGATAACAGAACTGCAGGACAAATAAGCGCGCTTTGACATTTCTTTGCCGAAAGGTCTACCATGCAGGGAAATAGGTAGATTCTCAACTTTATCCAATCTCAGTTCGGCCATGCAGTAAAACAATCCCCAGTGGAGCTCAGGATAAGATGTTATCATGCTACATCCAACGGTAACTTCCCAAATTACTGTGAATGTACCGCTACTTCAAGTTGATAGTAAAAGAAAGCTTTCTAATAAACATGCAAAATGAATGGCTTAATCACATCGCCGTAAAAATACTTTTGCAGAGACAGGATGTCAAAAGGTTAGAAGAGGACTGCACAGAAGTCGAGAAGAATCAGGAGAGCCATTATTAAGGAACAGATAAGGAGTCAAATCTCTCTCAAAGAAAGCTCCGTAGATCAAGGCAGTGCAGCTGTGACTACACCCTAATAATGATTGAGTAAGTCTGCTTATACAAACTAAGGTTGCACCTAGAGTGCCTTATATCTGGTTTAAGAAAAGGTTCTTACATATACTTCTATTGATTAGGTAGTCTGTCACCACTGATTATCCACAGCTAAGCAACGGAATATTGTACCTGAAGACCTCCGTCTCTTATAATAACCTAGTAGCGTCAAACCACCTGTAAAACCTTGCTTAATGGGAAAATGTGAATTGGAGTGGTGCCGTAAGAGTGGAAAATATATAGGATTTTCTGCAACTCAAATAGGCTCATTCTGTGGTACTAAACAATAAATATGATTGGCAAAAAGATATATTAACTATTAAGGAAATCATTATGAACGAAGTTGTTACTTTGTTCTCGCATTACATATATAATTTTTATTTTTTTCTTCACTGTGCTTTGCACTTAAAGCCCAAAAGGCATGGAGCAGTAGAGCACTTTTTATCGCTTTTCGCCTTTGACAACACTGTTGGGATCATCCCTTGAAGTAAATAATACTCCACTTAGACATGTTTCCTTTGGTCCTAAATGGTAATCCCTACTTCGAGATTGACTGGTGAAACAATAGGACAATGCACAAGAAATGATTCTGTGTCCAGCTATACAGCTAGTTGTTCCAAAATAATAATACATGCAAGATGGATAGCAAATAATGAGAAACTAGAATCTCAGGAAAGATAGATGAATACTTCTTTCAACAAGAGTGTATATATATCCACTAATGACAAAGAGACCTTTCCTTTTTTCTAGGAAGAGACAAGCACCAATCGAAAATACTCTACCGAGCACTATTATATGATAACACTATTAGCCAAATGAGCATCCTACAGAAGGAGAAATGAGATACCACACAAAAGCACAATACTAGTCGTGGAGCCAGGATGAAAGCTAAGCAAGCATGCATTTTTATCACTAACGGATATCCAGAGATTAATTGCGCTAACATGGATTTTCATGCTACCACTTAATAAAATAATGAAGACTCTCAATTTCAGAAGATTTAGCATTATATCGCATGCAATCAGGAGAAGAAAAGATTTCCTTTCAAGGTAATGAAAAGTAATTGGTGACAGTAAGCTACACGATCAATTGCTCTCATTGATCCAATAAGTGAATTTCGCAAAAGAAGGGAAGGTAATCCAACTCCTTAACTGAAATGGAAATCAACAGAACTAAATGTACATCTGACCCTAAAATTTGTTTTCGGCTGACAATTTCCATTTAGATTCTCCATTAGCTCTTCTAATTATAGCACAAAAACTTAGATACTCTCTAATCGTGAAGCAAATAGAGTATTTCCAATTCAACCTTTCTTCTTATTTTACCTCTAAGTTAAATTCCAGGTCCTATGGCCAAGATCATGCAAAAGACGAGATCTTGAAAGCTTTATCCCTTTTCTCTTATTTTTTAATTTTTTGTTTTGTTAAAGCTTTCCTTTTACTACCTTTTAACTGTACTGGTAGACAGGAATTGTAAAGAAAGGTTACTCAGAAAATAAAATAATAACGAAGCAGAGTTTGTGAGTAAACAAAAATATAAACAGCACATAATTTTGCAATATGTTGAAACAATATCAAGAATCATAACAATGAGACTATCAAATATTAGAGTAGCAATATTTTAGTATCATATTATATGCAACTTTTAAGCAAGAAAAACAAAATGCTAAGCGGAAAAAAACAGTAAGCGCTATTACCTGGGGGATTGACAATGGGAGAGAGAGCTATAAGGGCAGTCATTAGAGGTGGAGCCAAATTCTTCAGCAACTTCACCTCATATGAGTATTTATTCTTCTTTTCGCCAAATAGGTTGTCTCCTTCATACACATTTCTCTTCTGTAAACGATTAGGAGTAAAATAAACAAAGAAACAAATATATACCCTAAGAAACAAAGAAGAAGAAAAATAAAGAAACACACTGCATTTTTCTTTTTTGCAGTTTTACTAGGGTTTGACGGGTTATACCTTAGTTTGTGTTGCCAAGAATTTTATGGAACAGCTCTGGTCAAGGCAAGTGGGCGACATAGAAAAGACTCGCATTTTTCCTTTGGCTTTCTGATGGAGGAGGCTTGTTGGATTTTGCAGTGTGATTTTGGATTGAGTAAATTGCACATTTGGTACATCATATTTTGGGAAAGTTTAATTTGATCCTTAAATGTTTTACTTATTTTAATTCCGCCCTTTATGTTCTGAATTGAAGAAATATCATGTGCCTTTTCCCTTCTTTTTTTTAAGTTACGTTAAATTTCTAAAGCTTCTATTTTTTATTCCTTTTTGTTGAACATAAAATGTACATCTAGAGAGAAATTACCATAAAAAGATTTAACTTCTCAGTACCTTATACGTATTTAACTTATACGTATGAAGTATAATAATTGAATCGACAACATATTTTGAGATGTTATTATTTATTTCTCGAGAGAAATTACAATAAGTGAAGGAGGGGTAACAAAAATTATTAATCAACCTATAAACCAAGGGGCTAGGCATGTAGAAGTGTGTTATAAAATAAATATCCTCTAGTGAATAACAAAGGATTTACAAAGTTACTTATTAGATTCAGGAGAAAAAAGATCCAAGAAACAGATTTGCTGCTCGAGGAAATTAGAAAACAACATAAAATTTAGGCCATTTTGAATTTTCAAAAATTAAAACCACCAGATTTCTGCTATCTAACTTATAGTTTATTAGCCTCAGTAGATCTTGTCAAGATAGGTAAAAATTAAAACCGTTTATATTACTTAAAATACCTTTGAAGTCAGGTCCAAACACCTGTTTAACACTAGCAAAAAAAATGTTTATAAGATACCAGGTAAACCGTATAGAAGTTTCAAGTAAATTAAAGTCAATCTTAAACTAACACTTGATTATTTAGCTTTAGTTGCAACATCTTTTCCCTCATCAATCTTTTTTGGGACGTCCTTGGTCTAAGTCTAACGCTTGGATTAATTTGTAGGCGATTTATTTTGTTAATTAGGAAATAGTTAAAATTACCAAAATATAGGGGAGTACTTAGGAATATAATTCATTCTTTTACTCTTCCTTTATGATTTGAACCCACAATCTTAGGGACGTTGAAAGTAAATAGTGTTTATCACTATAGCAATCATCTCTTGTCTTGTCGACATACATACGCATTCTATAATGGGAGTACTCCTATCCTCCCTTTTACATTGTAAGGTGTATACATAAAACTTTAAACTTTATATGAAATGGATGATTTCCTTTTACATCGTTTCTTATTAACGGTGAAATCAGTATGATTGACTAAACTTAGCTTGTACCTACAGATATGAGCTAACTCTTATACCCATATTCAGTAATCTTCGTGCATGGCAATGTAACTCCGTCAAATTTGCCGAAAAGAAAAAAAAAATGTATACAGTTATCGACTCCATAATTCTCAGTAGTTCATAACCTTCTGTATATACTTTACTAATAATAAAGAAGATATTCTCAATGATCCCTTTAACTCCCCAGTGTCTATATCTCCCATTTTGTGCATAAAATGCAACATATAATTATAAATAGATTACATAATTACTCTCAATGCAAACCAGCTTGTACTTGTATTGGATGATTCCTCTTAATCAGCACTGTCTGTTAAGTCATAAGAAGGATACAAAGATGTATTTTTTCTGAAAGTCTACCATTAAATTAGATATCAAAGCCCTTATACGTCTAACCAAGCTAGCTAGAGAGAAACAAATAGTTTTTTTTTTTTCCAAGAGGACAAATCAAACTCATACTTTATCATCTTAGTTATCTCAAAAGAACAAATATCTTCTCAATCTGCATAATAATTTCTTTATAAGGGGAATTCCTTTCAAACAAGAAGTGAATACACAAGCTTTTGAAAGAAATGCTTCAGCAGGAATGAATCACAAATAATGTATTAGGGGATAAAGGATGCAGCATGTTTAACACTCCTGGATGATATCATAAAAAAAACACATGAGATTGTACATTTAGTAAAACAGTACTATACTAGTACTAATTATTTGATAACAATCTCCAAATTAAAACCATAAAAACTATGATAATATCTCATGAAAACCAAACTTCCCAACGTTTAAAATAACAAAGAAATTAAACTAGTATGTCATATGCTGTAGCCATACTACATGTTTTTGGACTCATCACCAGAGTCCTCAACGGTGACAACATCTTTTTTTGTACTGGTTCTGATCCCATCTGCCGCTGCTGAATCTTTGTTTTGAATCACCTCGACGTCAATGTTCTTCATCTTTGCTTGTTTCGCCTGCAAAATAATAATATCAATCATTATCAAAGTTGCATTAGCTAGGGTATATACAAAGAAAGTCTTGAAGGAAATTGGAGCAGGGGTATAACAGTAATTTTACAGAGAGTTTTCGGTAAAAATCTAGGGTGACAAGTGTCCCCCACCCCCCACAAGTCCACAACGTTCTGTATCGCCACGATTCATGAATTCGTAGAACATATCGACATACAACAAAAGAGATCGAAAAATCCTTGAATGAGGTATGATATATCTTTTTTATTTCGACAAAGAAAAAAGCAATCAATCTTTTGATAAAAGGTTTAGAGTGAAATGAAAGCAGAAATTAAAGTGTGTATATAGTTAGACCTGGTCCATAGCACAATCAACAAGTCGCAAAATGATTTCTTGCTCCTCTTTAGCAAGACGAGGGGTAAGCCTAGCCAGAATCTTCATGTCCCGAAACCTCAAATAATGCTTCTTACGAGGAGGACCTACGCGGCTAGAAGAGCTAGCAACATTCTGTGGCTGATCAGCTTTTGGTTTTGGTTTTGGTTTGGCCACAACATTTGATTCTCTAGATGCTACAGAACCAGCAGCAGCAGCTTGTTGTGGTTGCATGATAATTGGCAATTGAGGAGCAACATTAATCGGAAGAGGACTTGAGTCTGTTGATACAGCAACAGAACCACAACCCTGCTGCTGCTGTTGTTGCCGCTGCTGCTGCAGATAAATGGGATTATATGGCAAAAACACTTTCCTATGTGAAGTTCCTTTTTTCCAGCCATGTCCCAAATGTCCCTTTGAATGACCAGCAAGACCTTGGCTTGAATCAAAGTATTTTGAACAAATAATACACTGGTAAAACAACGTACCTCCAATTCCTCCGGCCTGCATTTTCTAGAGAGAAAACTTCTAAATTTTGAGAGATATGTTGCTGGTCTGTGAATGAGGAGTATATAAAGAGGGGGGGGGNCCTCAGGTGCTTGGATGTATTAGAAGATTTGTTGACTGTTTTATTTATTTCTTTGTTTGGCATAGTCAGCATTTATTATTTATGATAAGAATAAATAGTTTTATAAACCACTCGTAATTATTACAGATTGGAACTGAGTAAATATTTAGTCCTATTTATTTTTGTGCTTGATGTGTTCATTGTTTTGTATGCTGGTAAAAATCGGCGGTTCGATTTTACGATCATCAAGGCATCTCGAGGTCTCCCAGTGATCGACTTCGAGGGCTCACAGTGATCGGCCTCGAGGCAGTGTAAACCAGTAGCTTCGGTGGATCGATGTGATGTTCCCAAAGCACGTGACCGTTGATAAAGCCTATTAGGCTAGCCCAAGCCCGCATCATGGCATTAAATGGTTGTACCGGCTCCGTATCTTTGTAATAAATGCATTTGTACTATGTTGGTATTCCCCCCATATAAAGGAGATCCTTCTCATTTTGTAAAGAATCTGATGCTCAATATTGAAAATACAAGAACATTCTCTCTATTCTCTATCTTATTCTCTTGATCTCATTACTTGCATTTATTACGTATATTCATTGCGTTCTATTTATTGTTCTTCATTTATTACTTATTGGCCATAAAGAGTCGTCATTGATTTTATCATAACTGTTAATCCCCCATCGGTAGTTCCTAGCCGAACATCAGACTCGATCTCGAGGCCCCGATGTCGGCCATCCGATTTGGTTATCATCTTGTTTTCAAGCTCTTATCTTGTTTCCAAGTATCTCACTTAGCATCTATTGCCTAAACAACTAGCATAAAAATAGATCACGTATTTTTAGAACCACAGAATCAAATTTAATTGTAATTACCATTTTCAAGGTAAACAGTTTGGCGTCCACCGTGGGGCTAAAAATAATAGTGATTATTTTCTTGCTGGTTTTACTACATAACGCAAGTTATCTTTCACGCTTTTTCTTGTCCAAGATCTTTGATTTCAGGTCAAAATGTCTAACTTAGTAAATGCACGAGAAAACAAAAATCTTGAAGACCATGGAGAGAATGGTGTGGATGTTCCAGGTGTTGGTGTACCACCACGAAACCCTGAGACTGCATCAGAACCAATTACCATAGACGTGGTCTCGCTCAACGCTCAACACTTCGAAATAAGCTCTCACACCAACAGGAGCATACACCAGGAAGATCAACAAGAAGCACAAAAAACCCCGGCTCAGGAAGAACAAGGGGTTAGCCTTCACATTGTCACACCTCTTTTTTCCCGAAGGGAGGAAAGAAAGGAGTTTTTTCCAATTTAAGTGACATTAATCGAAATGAGATTATTTATTTATTTCAGAGTCGCCACTTGGGATAATTTATGGTGTCCCAAGTCACCGATTTATTTTAAATCCCAAATCGAGGAAATTTAACTCTGTTTAAAGTTCGCGAAACCAGAAGACCGGGTAAGGAATTTTGTTAACCCGAGAGAAGGTGTTAGGCATTTCCGAGTTCCGTGGTTCTAGCACGGTCGCTTTAATAATTATACTTGGCTTAACTAATTCTGGATATTTTATGTTCTAGAGAAATTTATGCACTTTTGCTTCAAACCGCTTTTAATTGCTTGATTATTTGAAATTATAGAATTATCTTGAAAAGAATCACGCGTACGTGTATTCATTTTGCTTAGTGTGTCAGGAATTATGTCACGCATACGTGTACATAATTAATAATACTTTATTATTTTTTAAGATTGTTTTGTCAAAGTTGCGCAAACGCATACTTTGCCTTTAATTTGGGAAATCATAACTATGTCATGCGAACGTGTACATAATCACGATAATTTATTTATAATCGCGCCTAAAGCAAACTACGAATATTTTTATTTTTTTTAATTTTTTTTTTACTTTGAGATTATTGTGAGGTTGTGAATTATGGATAGGAGATTTTTGTGAAAAGCAATAGTATGATACTACTATTTTTTTTTGATAATTAAATGATTTTATTTACCAATAGCAAATATGTACAATGTCATAACTGGAAACTGGACATTCCTAGTTCCACTTCCTCTACTACATTTCTTCTATCTCCTATTACAGCTAGTAATCTATTTCTGCTATTCTCTTCTCTGTCTTGCTATTCTTCGATCCTCTAATTGCTACTTCTAGTACAATTTGCCTCACTATCATTTCTACTGTTTTTTGTTGCTCTTGAAATATTCTTCTGTTCCTTTCATTCTATATGTGGTACACTACACATACCAGGGTCAGCCTATAAACTTGAGTAGGTGCATTGTTTCCAGTTGCTTTGCCTTCAGCCCATTGTATCTCCCTTTGCCATTCCATCGGAGCTCTTATTATTCCCTGCCATTGTAGCAATTTGCTCCATATACCTCCAGCTATTCGACACTTAAACAACAGATGGTCTATAGTCTCTTCTGTTTCATTACATAAAGGACAACTTACTTCTTCTGCAATCCCCCATGTGTGTAGTCTGCTTCTTGTAAGGAGCATGTTTTGTATAGCTAAATTTAGTACAAAGATCCACTTTGGAGCCCCTAGATTGTTGCATGTTAACCTCCTCCATGATACTTTTTGATATTGCCCTCACATGCCATTATACCACTTCTTGATAGAGAAGTAGTTCCTTTTCTGCCACTTCTTCCATGCTGACTTCTGCTTCTTCTATATACCTCTTTGCTTTAATTATTTTCTGAACTATCCATGATGCATTCCTTGGATTGCTATCCCACACTTCTTGCTTCTTTCCGTAATATAGATGGATCCATTGGACCCATAACTTGTCCTTTTTCCTACACAGATTCCATAATAGCTTGCAAATTACAGCTTTATTCTATGTTTGAATGTCCATTACATTGAAACCACTTGTTGTCTTTGGCGAGCACACGTTTTCCCATAATAATAAAGCTCTTTTTGAAGCCTCTGTTCCTCTGGTCCACAAGAAGGTTCTGCAGATTGTTTCTATCTTCTTCATTATCTTCTTAGGGATAACAAAAATCTGTGACCAGTAGATTTGTATAGAGAACAGAACTGTTTTGATCAGTTACAATCTTCCTGCATAAGATAAAAACTGTGAAATCCATGAGGTGATCCTGCCTAATATCTTCTCCAGTAGTGGTTGACATTGAATCAAAGATATCCTCTTAGTGCAGAGTGGTACTCCAAGGTATTTGAATGGCAACTCTCCCCTGCTAAATCCAGTTACCTGCACTATGTTTTCCTGTATAGCCTGTGGAACCCCTCCAAAATATATGGAGCTTTTTGCTGTGTTTGCTTTTAATCCAGATGCCTTAGAGAATTCCATAAAACAGTTGAATACCATTTGAATGGAGATAGTATCACCTCTGCTGAATAACAGCAGCTCATCTGCAAACCCCAGTTAGATGATGTTTAACTAGTCACACCTAGGATGGAAGTTGAAATCCGGCTTATACCTGTTTTAAAGCTTCTTGTGAGATATTCCATACCTAGTACAAAGAGAAATGGGGACAATGGGTCATCGTGTCTTAATCCTCTTCTGGCTTGAAATGGCTCCATTGGTTTTCCATTGATGAGAATAGAATAGGATACTGTACTAATGCACACCATAATCCAATGATACTACTACTATAATCATTAAGAGAATCAATTATTCTTTGGAGATATTAAAAGTCATAATAACTTAATAAAGTATTAACATTCCTATCTTACAAATACCTAATTAATGTAAATAATAGAAGAACCAAATAAGAATGTACAAAACATGGAAACATGCTGAGGCATGATTAACGAAATATTGTTAATCGGAAGTTTCAAAATCAACATTCATTAAATATGATTTAAAGCTCACTTGAATATTTTCTTAATCCAAACTAACGAACAACCAAAACTCTAAAAAAAGTCTACTATAGATGAACACTAACGGAGATCAAAATACAGTAAAAGGACATTAACCGAGCAAAATATCATGTGTTTGATCACCGAGCAACACAGAGAACAAGCAAACAAAATATACAACAGTGGAGAGAAAAGAAAACTGAACCTTAGGGTGAGAAGCTTTCTTCGTTATAATCCAACATTTTTATCCCAAAGCTTTATACAATGATGATTCGAAAGGAGCAAAAACACGAGAAAACTGACGACAAGATCTGGACTGAAATGCGCCTCGAACCGAAAACCAAGTCGGCGACCTCGACCCCGACGAACTCAACTTTGGAGCTGCTACTTTTTTAGCGAAGAAGAAGCAATTTTTCTGTATTTTTCGATTGGTTTGAAGATTGTTCGACAACCTTTAATGGTGGTTTGGTTGCCGTGATTTTTTGAAGCAGAAGAAGAAGCAGGAGGCGTTGGCAGATGATTATTGCTGGAGGTCGTTCTTCTTTTTCCTCTCCTCTTTTTTAACCTTTTACTCTCTCTATATATATGCATATGTAGGAGTTGAGGTTCAAGATGTGCAGGTGGTTAACAAAATATGTGTGATCGTGTGTGTGCCAGTGAGTGGGGAAGGAAGTGATGTGAAGTGGAGGAGTCATGGATGAGTTAAATCACTTTTGAAATTAAATTTGTTACAAAACTTTTAAACTCACGTGAATACTTGCTGCTTCTTTTATTTTCTTTGTTTGCTAATTTCTTTAATAAATAGAATTCTATTAAATATTAAGACAAAAATATTAATTAACTAATTCTACACTAACTAACTATATTTACACACACGCTTTAAATTATACTAAGAAAAATACCATGACTTGCTTATTAAAATTCTAATTAAAAGAAACCATATATGTATACATATACATTTTATTTATTTATTTTAGAAATAAAATTTATACTCTATGAATGTGACTTTTTTTAAAAAAAAATAATAATAAAACCTATTAAGAGTAGGATAAAAGTTTAAAATAATAAGATTAGACCTAAAAGAAATATTTACACTAAAATTGAATAGAATTTGGGTGTGGTCGAAAATTAG